ACCTCTCCTCCCAGGTTCGCACCCCCGACATGGAACTGCTGGTAATAGGTAGTTAGAGGTACACTCCAGTGTCCAGTGTGTCTCCTGTTCCAAGCGCATGATCCAAACGGCACGTCCATTGGACGTCCAGCTCCAGGGGCCGGACGTCCAAGGATCTGGAACTGTGGGACCCGGCAGCTGGAGAAGAGAAGACATGTCGTATTGACAGTACGTTACTTCTTAATGATAAGTACTATACTAGACTAGACTACACTATACTAAGAAGTACTTATACTACTACACTATACTATATCGGTATATACTATACTATACTTAAGAAGTGCGTATAGTACGTATAGCTAAGTATAGTACTTAGGTACAGTATAGTACGTTACTATACCGGTTACCAACAAAAATTACAGGTATACCGTGTACCCTTACTTCCAACATGCTCCATGAACAGTGATCACAAGTGTGTTGTACATAGGACGTGGCCGAAGCGCCGAAGCGGACCACATCGAGCTCTCCGATCCACCCAGGTACACCCAGGAACACGAGCGTCACGTCACATCTGTATAGGCCAGGGGTCGTCGTCGTGGCACGAAGATCAAAACAACAACACTTCCAGACCCAAACACGACTAATGGGACTGGCATATTTACATACATATAAGGTGGTTCCAAGGGTCAATGCAGAATATTCCATACAGGTCCATACATGAAGTGTCAGTGATATGAACCCCGAGATGCCAAACGAATGGGACGGTTTAACGAATGGGGCGAGTTGCATGATTTATCATTTATCCCATTGATGAATGACCGCAGGTGCGTCGCGAGACACTAGCCTTCATCCCGAAAAAGAATTTATGAATGACCCTTTCATGTTGCAATTTGATGACGAGATGACTTCATTAAGCCCTCACCACGAGTTCATGACCTTTTCAGGCTTAACTCTTCCAGAGACCTTTTCTGCCTGCAACTGCTCCACCACGGCACCAACGCTCCAACCGCTCCAAGTGACGCTGCCGTGGAGTCTTCGGCCGATGTCACCACGGCACCTGCCAAAGACCCTCACGGTGAGTCCCTGATGTAACGGGAATTGGTTCGTTTGTTCTATATATATAGACAAAACACAGAAAAAAAATCAGGTCTTTTCTAGGATTTGTGACCTTACGTGACCTCTATCTATGGTATTTTGTTGGATTCATCTTCTCAGCTGCGAAGACATTGTTTTCAGGTTTCTACGTTCTAGAATGGCCACCATCAAGGTCCACGACCCCAAGAATCCGGGCTAAGAAGTCGGTGACAGAGGGGACCCTCAATCCTGCTGTGAAGCGCCACGTGGTAAAAGCACACTCAAACTCAAAACTGCTTCACATGAAAGCTGGACATTACCTTTAATACTGCTGGAGCTCAAGCAGAATTGTTTCTCAATGTCTGTTCTGCTCATTTTAGGAAGTCAATCAACAGTTTTACTAATTAGTTTCTTGAGATTCAGAAATAGCTCCTGTTGTCCCCCATGTTCCTGCGATTCCTCTGGTGCCTTGCCTTCCTTCCCTTTTCCAAACCATGTCCGAACTGGCCTGCCTTCGGTTGCAATGGCAGCCACCATTGTGGGAACACGGCAGGTGCGGCACGTTGTGGTAAAGAAACACGTGTCCCAACTGTTGGGAGGTTGCCAAAGACAAATATCGAATCCAACGCCCACAAGGATTTGATTTCACTAAGACTAAATCGAACCTTTATACTGTTGTGAACCGCAAATATTCATCCCAAGCAGGTCTGGAAGCGATCTTCACTCGTCCTTTGATCGTCCGAGGAGGGTCGGGACCGCGGATAGGTCTTTCGTGCCTGCTTTCACAGAGTTGATCGACACACATTTCAGCAGTTGTCATCAGTCTGACTCGCTTTCGACATCCTCCTATGACTCAATGACAAAACAACAAGTTACGTTTGTGTTTTGTGTTTTGTGGTTGGCATTCAGTATCCCCTTTTTTCATGGTTTGTTACTAGATGTTACTAGTTGGCATGGGCTTGTGACTTCTCAATTGCCACTCTGCAGGTGCACATTCTCAGCCGACATGGATGGCTGCTGAATCGTACCCCAAGTTGTTTCTTCACTCAGCGACGAGACGAAGCGTAGGACCCAAATGTTACTTGAATGCTGCTTATGAACACTCCATGTACGGCATATTTATCGACATTGACCCCTGTTCAACCACCCCAATTTGGGCATATAGATAATCATATATATATATATATATGGCAGTCCCATGGAGTGTTTGGGACTGATCGGATGGTTCAACATGTTGTACTGATCATGGTTCAACATGTTCAGCTCATGACGTGTCCAAGTGTTGATGTTCTCTTCCTAATTGACGGTATTGGTTTTGGGATCCACCCGTGACGGAGCTCCGTATCACGACTTCCCACGGCTTCCCACGGCTTCCCACGTCTCACGGGTCACGACTTCGAAGGGTTCGTTTCGCTGCGGTCCGAGCTCATCGGTAGACATCGGTGGACAAGGGGGGAAAACCAGATCAGCTCGGTCCAAACACTGCGACGAACGGGCCTGCCATGGCGTGCCATATGCAAAACAGGTGCAACACCACATCTTTCGCATGTATTTTCCCCTGGGAACTCATGGTGTTCTGAAGAGTTGTCCTCTCCTAGAACTCATGGCACCTCTCCCAACACTCCCCAACCAATAGTTGCCCATGGACCCATGGTGAACACTGGCCACTTCCTCCTTCTTAGCGCCCAACCCTCCAGAGTTTTCGTCATGGCCACTCCCCCCACCAAACCATGGGAAGTCATGACACCTCTTCATTGGACTCGGGGTCGGTGCTTGGGTGCCATGACCTTAAGGGCGCCCGTTGCTGAAAAACCATGCACGTCCACGTCCGCGTCCGTTCGGACCCTCGACCCGTCTTCCGGACCCAACGTGAGGTCCCCAAGCACCGCCGGGTGACTTCAAAGCGGTTCCTCTGCGGTAGACCTACCGCGGTCCACCGTTTTCACTCACTTTGGACGGATGGTGGATCGACGCCAGCACGAGGGAAGGGAGTTCCGTTCCGAGCCCGGTGGGGGGGGGATGACATGACTGAGATGGCTTCTTCGGCTTCGGCCACGTTGAAATCTCTCAAGTTAGGGCGAGGAGCCGGGCCGTTGGCCAAGTGAAGCATGGAAAACTGACTGAGCTCCAAACCGAAGCTGCTGAGCTCAGTTCCATGGCGTGGAGGCCGAACTTGGCGAACGGAAGGGTGGGGGGTGCCCCTGTTTGGCGCCCGTGTCTGTCACATCACAAAGATCCACTTGTAGCCTGTCCATCCTGTGACTCAAAACCACTCAACTTGAAGGACTCCTGGTGTGATCTTTCTTTGCCGACTCGTTTGCCGCCTCGCTGGCTCCCCCGGATTCAAGGAGCGAGGGAGAGGAACGTCCAAGCGCGACACATGCCGGAGAGGTCCAGTGTTGAGCTGATGGGCTGATGGGTCGAACAACCGTTACACCCAGTGTGTTCCTATTGGTTCATGAGCAAGCAAGAGAGGTTTAAGTGACTGTAAATAGGACCCGTCACCTGGGGTACCTATGGGAGACTCATTATAGGGTTCTGGGTGAGGAACTATAGCTACCTCTCTCTCCCCGTAGACGTTGCACCGACCAAATGTGGTCGTCATTCATGGCCTTGGTGGGACACGCACTTCTTGAAAGTCATAGCCTGGTAGAACTATCTACGACTCACGGCCTTGGCAGGTCTCTCCATGGGTCCAATTTCGACACTGTACCTCCACCATGGTCCCGCCACCTACATAGCCCTGCCGATTAGCAAAGGCAACAAATTCGGCCCCCCGCAAACATTGGCAGGGTGGCATTAAATCAGAATTGATGGGGCAGTGAGCATCTGGGTCAGAACGAAACCAGAACCCTTCCAGGAAATCATAGGAAACCAATCAAGGATATATTATATGTTTTATATAAAGGTGATCATCTCAATCATCTCAAGCCGTCTGTGTATCGGAAAAGCACTCTGAACCCGTGCGCTGGGAGTTCATTGGCCTTTTCTTAGTAGGGTGACAACATGCCCTAATCCATGCGCAATATGTATCCATAAAGGAACCTTCATATTGTCGCTTCGGAGTGGGCTCTCTCTGAAACAATCATGGTGAAGTGGATGAAGAGGGCCCCGAAGAGCCAGACCCTTTTCCATGTTTTCCTCTACAACTGTGGGTGAAGTTCACGTTCATGGGCAGTTGGAGGGATGGTAGGTGTTCCACAACGTCAACCCATCGCCGTCGCATTCCTTTGGGGATGGGGTCGTGACCCACCTGGAGCCCGACCAGTCCGCCGTTGGTAGGTCAACCAAGGTATCCGAACCATCCACTACACCCTCCATTCTGCATCCAAGAATCCTTTTTGCCTATCCCAAAGCATCCATGGGACTGGAATAGTTACTTGCATATGGATGGGTCATATAGATTTGAGCCTGATCCATCAGGACTGGAGGAGTTACGACCACCATGGATGAGTCAGAACATGAGAATGTCCGTTCATGTACAATGACCATCCACCGCATCTGGTCACGAACCTAGCGACCGGACGCTACGAACCTAGCTCCTGGGCCCAAAGGCCAACTCAATGCCCTCGGGTTCTGGTCCGTCCACCCCAAACGGCTCACGTCTCGCTCGGCGACAGGGCGTTGCACCGCCGGGGCCTGGGGATCCGATATGTGTTATGTTCATCACTCAAGTGCCAAGGCCCGGTCGAATGGCAATGGCAAACCTATTTTTCGAAACGTGCCGTCCGGGCTGTTCAGCCATGAAAGAAGGATGAAACAAAGAAATAAGATCAAATATATATATATATATAAATATATATATATAGCTTCGCTTGAATAAGGATCTCTCTCTCTCTCTCTCTAAACAAGGAAAAACAGCTAAAACACTCAAAATACCTGCAAACATCTTCAAATCCCCGTTGCTGGAAGCAAGCCCGCACGTCGCAGTGACGAGCCCGCCCGTTTCAACAATAAGGTCGTTGGCACAAGTCCAACAACTGCGCTGGCGCTTTGATCGACGCCTCGGTCGGTTTCATGTGGAGTCGTCGATTCCGACGTGACCCGGGACCACGCTTGATATATCACTCCATCCAAAGACTCCAGGAATGGAAAAGGAGAACATGCAAACAAAAAGATCGGCCAAACAAACATGACCCTGATGATCTGATGTAAGAAAGGATCTCTTCCATGGATGGTCTGAGTACGTTCATACCTACCCTAAAGAAATATAACCTGGTCCAGTCCCATGGGCTGGTGATCGCCCTTAAAACGACTCAATCCAGGTGTGTCTCTTTCATGTCGACCTGGAAAGTCCCTATACCGTAAACGGGGCGGGTCGTTACGACCCTTCGTTGAGTTGGACCACATCCATTGCAGTTCTGCCCCCGAGCCCGAGGTCGGTCAAGACTGGAAGGTCGGTCGAGAAGAAGGCGCCTTCGGAAGGCCCTCGGCTCTTTCACTATATGGAGGATGTGGTTCTGTCGTTTTTTCTCCGCACCGTGGGAAGTAAGCTTTGTTGTGGATGATAGGGGAAACCATTTGTTTGTTATGTGGCTATGGGTCATGGCCAACCGGATACCTTCTTGCTAGACCCCTACTTGGTGTCGTTCGCTCGCTGCATGGTGTTGGCTCCAGGTTGACGGACCCATGTCTCTTCTTGAATGTGTCCCTCATGTGTCTTGGGCCAATCCGTTCAGTGGAGCTGGTCCAAACAGACCGCAACGAGCAGTGATCACTCTGTCAGGCTACGCCAATCTCAACCTCCAAACTCTATGAACTCCCTGAAGTGATCATGCAAGTGCAAAAACACCTGCTAATTACATGGTCATCCCAAAACCATCCATGTATGGAATAGTTACCTACGGCCATAAACGGGGTAAATGGGTAAAAGTAACGGTATGTACGTAACTATTCCAGTCCCATGTGTCGGGTCTTGACAAAAGCATATGGGGATGGGTCAGAACCTGGAACCCTGGTCCACCATGTAGTTCAGTTGACCTTCCAGGTTGGTCAACCAATGTATCCTGGTGCCATGATCCACATCCATATAGTGAACTACCATTACCATGAACGCCATAATAATGATTATACATTTTGTTTGTTCACTCCCTCGCGGCGTGTTTTGTTGAAACCAATCCATGTCGCAAAGTCGGCGAAGGAAGGAATGAAACTGCATAGGTTCATGCACTTCATGGAATCAGGGTCCCACCTGGTGTCCACTGAGATCATGGGACCATTTCTGGGTTATTGATTCTTCGTTTTCCGCACCAGTCCGCATCCCTATTCATCACCCACCTTCCACTAGATTGACAGGTAGAACTTCGGTAGAACCTCCCAAAAAAAAACACAGCATTGGCCACACGCTGTTGCTCGTGCCCTCCGCTGCACTGTGCATCGGAATGGCGGTTTTCGGTCACCAAGTGGCAAAAACAATGGCTGTTGACAGCCAAAGGCTGGCGGTCACCAATATGCCTTGGAACAGCGGATATACCGGAAAACATCCCGAAACTGTGGACAAACACACATATATGTTCACTCTTCCAAGACATCATGTTTTGGGCGGTTTGGATCTTCAAGATTCCCAAGTTAGTCGAAGCGATCTGCGTTTCATCGACGGTAAGCGAATCGTTGAACCTCTCTGAATACGATGCACACGTCGAATGTGTTGCACTCACCTGTGTGGATCACCTCCAAAGTTTGGACCACGCAGCGCCACATGCAACACCTACACAGGAAAAACACGCACAACTCAACTGAAATTTCCGGAATCATCCAATGGGTGTCCACAGGAAGTTCATAAGAGTTCATAAGTAGTATATAGACCAAGCTATTGTGGTGACCGGATGATGCAGGTTTTGCACGTTTGACATTTAGGAGGTTATCATGTTGTCATTAAAGATCTGGTGGGGCTCGGCGCTGCAACATGCCATGCCAGTCCAGGCGGCGCTCAACTTACTGTCCGCAATTGTCTGTGTGTGTGTGTGTCACTGGCTGTGTCTGAGGATCACCTGCAGGTCAATCGCTTCCTTACTGCTACTGCGCCTATTCTTTCATTCATCCGAGTCATGATGCAGGAGGGCATGGCAGCTGTTTCCGTAGCCTTCCCAACAAAGCTATGGGATTCAGCCGGAAGGGAATGTGGACACACAGTCCTGCACCTACACCTTTATGTGTTTTAGCAAATGTGATGCTAAGTAGAGCTTACCGCTGTCAGCTGCGTTGTTTTGCAGCAACGGTCTAGTGCACTAAAGTGTTAATGAATCGGTGGTTGGGTCTCTGAAAAAAAGGTCATTCAGTTGAGCAACCAATCTAAATCTAAATGTGTCTTTGCAGCATCGTCCCACTGCGGTGTTCTGTGTCACCCCTGCGGGGCGCGTACTTTGCTCCTTCCTGTGAAGGCCTGCTTACTGAACAGATCTTTATACACCTGGATGCAGTTTCTGATCAAACTATGTTTTTTTCCATGAGAATGCTGATAGAATACCGCCGGGTCCACGGATACGATTTACTGAATTTCAATGAATTTCATGTCAGAGAGCACTTTTCTTTCCAAACTTATACCTAGAACCTCATTAGGCAATAATTTCCGCCCAACGCCGTTTAGGCAGAAAATTCAGCCCATTTTTGCAAAGAACGCCTAAGCTGCAGCCTCGAGGGTCAAAAACGCCGAGGCACAATCACATGCATTCTTACATGCAGGAGGCAGAGCCAGAAATTGAATGACAAAAATTGAGAAAACAAACGCCTGCCACTTGACGCTAATCCCCAGTCTAAAGTTGTTGAAACTCATGTCGCTCACTCCCCCCCAAAAGGCTACCATTCCGTTGTCCACCCAACTACTGATTGTAGTGAGGGGGAACGGGCAAGAACGCCTAAGTATCGGGCAAGAACGCCCAAGTAACGGGTAAGAACGCCTAAGTGACGGGAAGAACATGTATTTGAGCAATGCCACCAAAAGGACAAGAACGCCCAGAGGGGGGCAAGAACGCCTACAGGGGACAAGAACGCCTAAGCACGGGCAAAGTCGCCGTTACCCACAACAGGCAGAAATTTCTGCCCAAGAAGAGGTTATAGGTATATGTCATTACTTCAACATACTTCAACCTTTCCTTTCGTCATGAACGATTGAATCATTTTCGGCTAGATTTTGAACGGTATGACTCGATTGTCTTCTCGAAATCCCTGAGTCTTGATCACTTTCGCAGTTTACAAACGCAGTCCGAGATCGCCATGCAGTTTTCTTAGCCATATTACCCTACGCAGCCCACAACTCCCTCAACAGTGCCGCCAGTACAGTCACCAACCTCACACAATGCCACTGGCTTATCCGCATTGGGTGGCATGCTTTTCAAAACCGTTGAAACAAAGCTGCAGATACTCATTGTGTGCTGCGTGAGTTTACATTTCTCCTGGATTTGTCCTCTCGATGGCTTTCTTCTTCTCTTCTGAAGACTTGTGCTGCGTGATGTTAGGTGTAATGCAGGTGCGTCGGACTCGGCTTTTCTGCGTGTATTTTCCACCTTTCTTTCTTTCGTTATGTGTTTTTTTTCTTTAGTTCTTCTTTCTTGTCTCTTGTCTTCCTTGTTTTTGGTTCTCTCTCCCCCTTTCTCTCTCTCTCTCTCTCTCTTCTAACGGCATTTTAAGGTTGTAAGGGAGGTTTTGAGCTGCTCTCCTTCGTTCTTGTTTTCCTTTCTCTTCCTCGTTCTTGTTTCTCTTCTAAAGGCTTTTCTGGTGTGTAATCTGTTTTTAAGTTGAGGGTGCGCAGGATCACAACGACCTGTCTCTCAAACCCTGTTTCTAAGGGACTTTCGTTCACACAAGTCACAAACGTCTCTCCGTTGGATTGTAACTGTTTCACAGTTCGCTTTAGAAGGGACAGAACTCTCTGATGCTGCTCTGTCCAATGATCAGAGAGGGAATCATCCAATGGCTATGGGAGTGCACCTGCCTGTCAACATGAGCGATTCTGTTGTCTCGCCAATTATCCGGAGGCAAAGTTCGTTGGCAGACATGTCGGTCGCCTTCCCTTCTCCTACCCGCTCTGAGTGAGTTATTGCTTCCTCTTGTTCACTATATAGCAGGAGGCTTTCCATCTATTAGCCTCCCTACCTATACTACCACAGGAAACTTTCCATCCTTGTGTCTTGCTGCCTGTCAGATAGAGCGGAGCGATTCATTTGTCGCGCTCGCCCATCAGTTTTGAATTTCATTGAACCTACGTAAGGCCAAAACTGTCTCATTCAGTGTTTCGCAGAGACTGGTCTAATGTTGTAATATACAGTGCTATAATGAATCTCAAACTTCGCTGAACTTTGTTTTTGCGAGCTTCCTTCAAACAACCTCATCCCAGAGGATCCCAGATACCAATTTATAAAGAAACTGGATTTCTAGGTAACGCCTTTAGAGTTCCCGACCGCGGCGGGCGTTGGTTCTTCCCACTCACAAATCGCCGTGGCAGCTCAGGATCTGACCGGTGACAATGGTGATCCACCGGTACAGACGATCTTGAAGCCTGCGTTCTTGTCCATGACATGAAACAAAGCAAAATATACCAACAAAAGATCTTAACATCAAGGTTTTCCATGCAGCTATGTGGGAATGTCTATTGGAATATAAACAACCCCAATTTCAAGCACGCCCTCGCTGGAAAGTTTTATTTTGATTTCTCGGCCGACAACCATCACTGTGTTCAAACAAATCCTGACACTGAATGTTCTTGAACTGCAAACAACAAACGAACAAACAAACAAACATACATACATAATCCCCCTTACTTGTGCATATCGGCTGAGAGATTGCATTTTATAGAGAATTTTGGCTATGAAATGGGTATACAGGGTATATTTCCTATAAAATGCCAAAACCAACCTATTTATAAAATGCCCAAACTTCAGGTAAGCATAGCAGCGACAAAAACAGGAGGTTTATAAAAAGGCCAAACCGACTCTTCAAGAAATCCTATAGCTCACCTATGAGGTGTTTATAAAATGACAAAACCAACCCTCGCTGTCAGCAACTTGATATTTTGACTCCTTCGCTCTCACCTCCCACACAATCCGTCCGCGGCCCATGCGCTGGCGACAAAATGTACATAGCCAGCTTTTAGGCAATTCATTGTCTCTTGAAAAAACTGTGTCTGGAATCCTGTGGATTCACATCGCAATCTCATTGTCAATCTTTGCAGAGCGAACATCACTGATGAGAGCCAACCATTTTGTGCGGCTGGGCTTTTCATTTCTCATCTCATCCAAAGCGCTCCCCAACTCTGCGCAAACCGCTGCACCATAGCTGTCACCTTTTCTTTTGTCAAAGAATTTGAATTGGTAGTACGCTGGAGCTTGGTTCACAAAGTCCGCAAAGGAGTACTGTTCACTGATCGTCTTGATTTTGCACATCTGCGTCTTTGCATCAAAGGCCGGGTTTGCAAAGTGAAGCTGGTCCAAACTGGCCATTTTGACGAGGATGCTTTTGATCTTCTTTCGGCCTGCTTCCGATCTCCTGATATCTTGCGGCTTGATGGACTCTGGCTGAGCACTCGATTCCTTCTCAGCCTTCTTCATGAGAGTCTTTGCTGCGCGATGGAAGCCTTTGCAGACCTTGCTGAAATTGATCTTGGATGAAGTCTTCCGCCGTCGCTTTGGAGAAGAAGGTTCCACTTCTGGCTTGTTCTCGGATTGCACTTCGGCAAAAACATCCAGGGACTCTGGAGTCAGAGTCAACCTTCCAGAGGCCACATCCGACAGCGAAGCATCAATGTCCAAAATAGCTAGGACATGTGAAGACGAAAATATCCAAGAATTCGAGGTAGGTTCAAAGACGATCTTGCCATTCTCCTCCTTTCCCTTGAGTTGGACGGCCCGGAAGCTTTTGATGTGGGAGAGCGGCACAGGCTGAGCGCCTCAGAGCGATTCAAAGCTGAAAATGCAGAACATAGATCCAAAATGATCCAAAAATTGGCAGAAACCCCACAATAGGATGCACAACCATACCCAATCTATCGTACCCAACCCACAGTTTCTTGAACACAACACTGAGTCACAGGGTCGTGGCTTTTTCGCAACAGGAAACACCGTCATTACCAGCGCCACTGTAGGCACTTGATCTGGTCCCATGTTCAGAACGATCACGTTTCCCATCCTTGGCTAGGCTCAACAAAAGCAACATACATATATAAAATGCTTGTCGTGGGTTATTCACTTTATTCATTATAGTGTCTGGCCATCAAAGGCATTTTATAAAAGTGCACTTTCACCCAAAAAACAAACAACAACAAATATATATATATATATGAAATGTGTGCTTTAGAAGCTTCAATTAAAAATGGCAAGCGGACCCCCATCACCTCATTTCATAGAAGCATGAATAAACCAACAAATACAAAAAAATGATCAACAGATATCAAAAGATCTCAAAAGTAGATATCTATATAAATAGATACAAATAGATATCACTAGACCATACTAGCCCAGATTCTGCAACTTATCTGTCTCGTCGGACCCATCCTTCTTGGCCTTCAATGATCGCACAATCCACTTGGAGGCCCGGCTGCCCTTCTGCCCCGCCAGCATTCCTTCACCATCTTCTTCTTGCAGCCGCATCTCCTTCAGCTGGTGCTCCATAGTCCTCATCAACACAAAATGACATCAAATGAATACATATTGACCAAATTTGACAAATATTTACCAGATGTCAAAATTTAAAACAGTCATAGCCACGGCAACCATGGCCACATAAATAGAGTGCACACAGATTGCAAAACAAACACCCAGGGACTGGTGCCAGTTGAGCTTTCTCGATCGTGCCCTTACCAGCTCAGCCCTTTTCAAGAACATGCTGTCCATTCCATCTTCTCCGCAACGAAGGAAAACAGCTAACCCCCACAAGGAAGACCACATGTTCTTGGACGCGACTGCCTGTTTCAGGGTGCGAGGAAATTCAGAATTCATTGGCCTGGCAGCCTTTGAATTCTTGTCCGGCTCACGAGTCAATTCAATGAGCTCTGGTCCGTCTGGCAGCCTTGCATCAGTGTCTTGAGGTCTTGAGATGCCATCTGCATTCTCTCGGAGAAGCTCCTCTGGGTCATCTGGATCACATTGTGCAAACTCTTGAGTGGCAACAGATGTGATTTCATTCAAGACCGTCTCAATTTCATGGCCTTTTTCATGTCCATCTTGGATCGCCTGCACCGAGTCTGGAATGGCATCCTCTAGGAGGTCATCTGCTTCATCATCAGCAACCTCAAAGAACTCCCCAATGCTTTCACACCGGTATGACTTCTCAAGTTGCTCCTTCGGCACACCACTGCACTCAGACACCAAGTGCAAAGCGGCCGCCAAAGCATTTCTTGCACAGGATCGAAGCCTGAACAGTTTTAGTCCAAGTAGTTTCAAGTCAGAGTTGAAACCACTATAAAATGACCTGTTTAGGGCAATATAGTTTTACATGAGAGACGTCTTGCAGTCATTTTATTTTATACAGACTGAGAGTCACTGTTTCAATGAATGCACACTTTTCTGACATTTATAAAATGAAATTCCAACATATGAAAGTGACCGGCGCCCCATATCCAACTTTTTTGATATGTATATATAAAATGAAATTCGCACGTATGAAAATGACCACACACACCCCATATCTCCCTATATTCATTTCATAAACCCCCCGAGCACAAACCAAGTCACTGATCGGGCGACAGGGGCTCTTCCTCGACCAGGTCATTTGGCTCCTTCACCCGCTTCTTGGCTGTCTTCCTTGCCACCCTTGCAGCCGCATTGAAGTAGCCTCTTGGTGTGAGATCACTGTCATTATACTGACTGCGGAGCTGTCCAAAGTACTGCTCAATGTGGACTTCTGACAAGGAGTGACTCTTCTGAAATGGAGACCAATCCTTTGGCTTTGTGGCACAAATTGCCACACAGGTCATGGCGATGCCTTGCAAAGCTGCCCTTGTTTGTCCAGCAAGCTGCATTTTGCCGCGCCCAACACCAAGCGCTCGCTCCTTCTCACTGGAAACCAATGCCCAAAGATCTAAGCACGCGAGACCAGAGATGGCAAGCTCACATCTTTCCTGCAATTGAAGGCCAGCGTGCAAGACCGGAGCCTGTGCGAAAATAGCAAGGCGAGGTTGAAAAGGTCAATGCAAGTCAAAATTGCTTATAAAATGAACCAAGGACATGGTTTTATTGGTAAAGTCTTCCAAGAAAGTAAAAATCTCATTTTATAGAAGTCTATAATTCCAATATATTCCAATATATTTCAATTGAAAATCATTGGCATTGCGGTTAAGTTGCTGTGCAGAGTGCCACGGAAATGTTCCATAAGAGCATTCCACGTGCATGCCACGGGACCAAAATGTGCGCCAAGTCTTCTGCTCCATCCTTGAGAATGGAACGAAGGTGGAAATGTAATTAATGAATTTTGATATCATTTGATATCTATTGATTACACAATATGACATGTAACATCATGCAACATCGTTTGACACGTCTCCATTGAAAAAAATGAATATACATGAGCCAGAGTGCCTGGTCCACTCCGATGAGGTACATCGGGTTTGCGAGCAGACTGCTCAGACGGTCTGACATTGGATCCTTCCTGCTGTACGCAGGAAGGGGCAGGCCAGCGCTCAGCAACCCGGAAGCATCAGCAGCATGCATCCCAAAGTGGACAATCTTGGTGCTGGATGAAATCTGTGCTGCAGCATTTTTGCACGCATGTGCGGTTCCAGGTAAGAAGTATATTGCCTCTCCGTCCACTGTAGCCGACAGAAGAGGAAAGCGTGGCAGCCCCTCCAAACCAGCAATCTTCCTATGGTGAACGTGGGAAAAGTATTTTGTGTCCAGGATTTTTCTTCTGTAGTCTGGGGTGGCATCTCCAAAGATCGCGTTTTTGACGAGGCGGTTGCAAGCTTCACCATCACAGACCAGAATTCTCACAAAATCCTTGCTGTGATACATCATCTCGTCAATGATTTTGAAGACTTCCTCAGCACACGTCAGCACAAGCGTGTCCGGAGCCCAAAGTCGCCAGAATAGACCCCAGACAGTCACAAGACTTTAATGGCAGCTGCTCCCAAGAACCCCAAAAGCTCATGCTTTCTGGGAAACACATAATTTGTGTTCGATATTGTTCGGTATCGGTCAATCTGCATTGTTCTGAAATGTTCTGAATATATATGGTTTATAAAATGAAAAGACACGGTGTACACAAATGCATCAGCCCTAAACATTGTACAAAAACTCATTTTATAAACAACTTGCCTCATGCCAAAGCTCCCAACTACTAGTAGTCTCTGGAGAATTCAGCCACTTCAAAGACAAGGGCAAAGCTGTGAGGCTCCAACTCTGGTGATTCACGGTCTGTGGGTCCCACAATAGGAACTCAAGCCTGAGAGAATCAAATTACGGCATATTATGGCAAGGTTTTCTATAAAATGGGAAAGCCAGGTAACACTGTTTGCTCACGTGTTTGTATATCTGGATGTGCATTCTATAAAGCAAAATGTGTAGAGTG